ATAGGTTATTGAGCTAAACATTTAGGAATTCCCTGCTTGAGTTATAAGCAAATTTTTTTTCATTATTGTTTATGTAAAGATTTCTCGATAGACGTGCGACAGCTTTGAGTTCGTTCTATTGACTATTTTCTTTGGTATTTGTTCCCTTTTAAAATTGTTTATGTTTTAACTGTGATTTATGTGAACTTTTATAACATCTATTTTACATAAAGTCAAGATTGTGTGATAATTTGACAAGTGTTAGGGGGTACCATTCAGCCTAGAGATGTCAGAACGACCGCCTACCTCTCAAGATCCAACCAAGGCAAATTGGAGTGTAACTCGTGATGAATTCATGGTTGAACAATTGAAAAAATTACATTTTGCTGGGAAGCGGTCTGATATTGGATGGAAGAAAAAGGATTGGAGGTCTGTATTTGATGCATTTAAAAAGAAATTTGATGCTCAAAATACCGTAAAACAATTGAAAAATTGTTGGGCTACACTTAAGAAGTAATATTTTATTGTGAAGGATCTTGTTGACCAAAGTGGTTTCGATTGGGATGACAATGCCCATGTTGTAACTGCTCCGACTGATGTGTGGGATTGATTTCTTCAAGTAGGCTTTTAGTATTGATTATTCAATTCTTTATTATTTTTTTTATTGTAGGAATTTAGCTATGCAAGATGTTTGGAAAACTCACATATCTAAGCAAACAGGCCCATCTTGAAGCAAAACCATTTATAAAGGCGAGCTTTGCCCTTTATGATCAACTTACCATACCAGTCGAAGGTAAGTTTTTTCCATTCTATTAATAGTATTTATTTAACTTTATTATATTGCACTACAATTCTAATGCACTACAATTCTCATTAGAATATGATATTTTATGCCTATAGGTAAACATGCCACAGGGAAAGGGCAATTATCGACTGTTCGTCAAGAGCCATTAGAAGATGACATAAGTGAACATGAAATTGAGCAAATTCCACAATCAGACCTACATTATATTACAAATGAGAATGATTTGAGCTCTTCAGATGATATGCCTATGGACACCCCTGAAAGGAACAAATGTCAACCTGTTGTGAAATTAATTCCACATCATGGTAAGAAAGTGAGGTCTAGCCCTGTAAGCAGGATAACAACAACTGTTGAAAATTTAGTCAGGGCAGACATGCTAACCTCACAAATATTGCAAAAGCCCATAGAAAATGAAGAGTTTTCATATAAGAAGTGCTTGATAGAATTGCAGCAGTTGGAAGGCTTAAATCAAAGTGAGCGTGTGCAAGCAATAGATTTACTTGTTAATGAAAAGGTGGCTATCGCATTTATGACTCTCGAAGAAGAACTTCGTTTGGATTGGCTGCGTTCTAAATATCACAGAGTCGAGTACACATCCATTTTGTGTTTTTAATTTTTTTTTTTGTGTGGGGCGCTCTTAATCAGTGACTTGAAGAACTTCCTAATCTCTGTATAACTTTTGGACCTAAATTTTTTTAGTAACATGCGTGAAATGTTTGTTGATTTTTAAGGCATGTGTGAAATGTTTGCTGATTTTACTTATCCTTTTCCCATTGTTTGTAATCTTAGAGAAAATGGCTTTAGTGTGCAAACTCATATGCACTTTTAATACACTCTTCTTGGTCAGATTCTAATGCACATTGACTCAATTTTGTAGTAGATGTTTGTTTGAGTTAGATATATTCCTTAAATAATGCATATGTTCACATAATTTTCCTTCTATTTCGTTAGAATATCTTTCATTTATTTTATACAGTGAAGGCAAGCATACCAACAAAGAAACATGATTGAGATGGAATTAGCCAAATGGCATGAGGAGCAATAGCGTAATCAACAGTTAATTCTTGCAGTTGTACTTTGCAGTTTTAATGATATTTATGTAAACAAGATTCCTCTTCAGAATTCATCTCTATCTGGCTATACATACATGGAAGAAATACTTAAAGGTCATAAGGAACGATGCCTTCAAGTTTATCATATGGAGTTAAACGTATTTCAAAACTTTTGTGAGATTTTTTGAAGTAGACATCTTCTAAATGATACTCGAGGTATAAAGGTTGAAGAGCAGTTGGCAATGTTCTTATATATCCTGGGGAAGAGCTCAAGCAATCATACAGTCCAAGACCACTTCCAACACTCAGGTGAAACTGTTAGTTGCCATTTTGAGAGAGTTCTCAATGCAATACATAAATTATCATTCGATTATGTTCATCTACCTTCAAGTAGTACACCTCCGGAAATACACAAAAAAAACATGTATTATCCTTTTTTCAAGGTACTTATTTTAAATTTATGTATCTTTCGATGATTTTGAGAAATTAATGATTAATTTTAATTGAAGTTTTCTTTCTTTACTTTTTGAAGAATTACATTGGGGCAATAGATGGTACCCATATTCATGGGAGTATTGGTGTTGAAGAGCAAGCTCCATATCGGAACAGGAAAGGCTTTTTATCACAAAATGTAATGGCAGTTTGTTCTTTTGACCTTCGCTTTGTATGTGTACTTGTTGGGTGGGAGGGATCATCATCGGAATCTTCTGTGTTAAAAGCTGCACCAAAATCTGATTTCAAGGTTCCCAAAGGTCACAGTTATTTACCTTCCTTAAAAATTTTATATTTGGTGGAATATTTAAACTTCATTTCAAGGTTGCTAACAAATGTTATAGTCCTTAGCTACTTCCTACG